GGTAGGTGATGACGAGTAGCCAGAAGGTGAGGTGGAGTAGTGGGTAGTGGAGTGAGTAGTTGAGGTGTCGAATAGAGTGAGTATTAGATTACGGTTTGAAGTACAATGTAGTAGGTGCGGGTATCTTGTCGGCGAGTAGATGCAGTGGTTGTAGGTGATGAGTGTAGGCGAGACGCCAATGCGAGAGGATGTGGAGGAGGTCCAGGGGGACGAGTAGTGCGTAGAGGAGGTAGATGATGGCGATGAGCTAGAAGGTGACGAAGAGGTTGATGACATCGAGGAGGTGGTAGTTATATGATGGATGGTAATAGTGGAGTGAGTAGGTGAGTTGTCGAATAGAGTGAATATTATATTACGTTGTAAAGTATGTGATGTCATGTGGTTGTGTGTAGTTGGTAAGTAGTACATGTGGTGATAGCACGGCAGTGCGTAGATGTGACCGTAGGTGTAGAACGTCGAGTGGCATCGTGAGAGAGTATGTTAGGTAGGTGATGGTGAGTAGCCAGAAGGTGAGGAAGATGTTGATGACTGAAAGGAGGTTGTAGTTATATGATTGATGGTAGTAGTGGAGTGAGTAGGTGATGTGGAGAATAAAGTGAGTATTACATTACGGTTTGAAATATGTCATGTCATGTGGTTGTGTGTAGTTGGTGAGTAGTACTAGTGGTGTGAGCACGGTAGTGTGTAGGTGTGACCGTAGTTGTAGAACGTCGAGTGGTGTTGTTAGTGAGTATGTTAGGTAGGTGATGGCGAGTAGCCAGAAGGTGACGAAGTGGTTGATTTCGTCGAGGAGGTTGTAGTTATATGATGGATGGTGGTAGTGGAGTGACTATTACATTACGGTTTGAAATATGTGATGTCATGTGGTTGTGTGTAGTTGCTGAGTAGTACTAGTGGTGATATCACGGCATTGTGTAGGTGTGATCGTAGGTGTAGAACGTCGAGTGGTATTGTTAGTGAGTATGTTAGGTAGGTGATGGTGAGTAAAGAATAGAGTGAGTATTAGATTACGTTGTAAAGTACAATGTAGTAGGTGCGGGGATGTTGTGGGCGAGTAGATGCAGTGGTAGTAGGTGATGCGTGTAGGCGAGACGCCAATGCGAGAGCATGTGGAGAATGTCCAGGGGGCCGAGTAGTGTGTAGAGGAGGTAGAGGAGGGCGATGAGCCAGAATGTTAGGAGGTAGTAGAGGAAGGGGTAGCGGATGTCGTAGAGGAAGAGGTTGATTTGCTTGAGGAGGTTGGTGAACGGTTTGCCGGTGACAACTGCGTCGAGTTGTTCGGAGAAGGCTTTGCATTGGCGTTGTTGCTCACCTTCATCCCCTGTGTCATTCAATTCAGCTGCGGAATAGTACGTGAAGCCGAATTTGATGAAAAGGGGTAGGACATTGTGACATTGGACGATGGTGGGACAGTGACAGTTGTTTTCCTTGCCATGACAACCGTCTTTGTGTTTTGGTTTGCTGCCACAATTTTTGCAATTTTCGCACGTGAGATTGTTGAACTCTGTAAGTAATACTTCAAGACCATCTTTCAAAGCCTGGGTGAGATAAATTATGCGGGACAAATACGACTTAGCGAAGGATTCTGAGATGATGGGATAGATAACAAAGGACAGGGGGTCAAGGTATTGGCCGCAAGTTTGGGGAGTTGTGCATTCACTGTTGTAGAGGCTGTGAAGCGTGGCGGTGTGGTGCGGAGGGTCATCGGTTTTGTGAGACTCATCGGTATGGTATTCGCCAGCTAGGGTTTGAACAGCACTAGTAAGATTTGTAGATTCAGTATTGGGTTTATTAGGGAAGTTGTTGCTTTCCTTTTGAATGGCATCAGCGACGTTAGGGGAACTACCATTATTCATAATCCCACCAAGATACAAGAAAAACGCGAAGAGATCACCGACTGTACGGGGGGTACGTAGGCTGCAGCAGATTAGACATATGATTATGTTGTAGAGACTGACGGAGTTACGGTCATCTTGGGTGAAGTAATCTAGTATCCAATGGATATAGTTACCCGTGCGAGGAGACTGTGATAGACAGTCTTTGTTGAATCCCATTGGTACTGGGCAATATTGATTGAAATTGCGATGGGAAATATGGTCACTATATGGTACAGGGGTGACACCATTTTTCGATACAAGTTGACCGTTTCGAATGTGACATTTATCGTTTTCTAGGGATTCACATTGGAAACCGGTTAGACAATCTGTTAGGAAAGCTTGGAGGGGGGAGGGCTTGGTGGAGGGTAGGCCGCATTCTTTGTGGTTAGTGGCGCAATTGACACCGTGAGTGTTACATTTCTTGCCGGCGTGACCTGTGTTAATAGCACCATCGACACAGAACCACGATATTGGCTCATTTTCTTTAGGTAGTTGTGAACCATTGCCATATTTACAGCACTGCCAACCGCCATTGTAAGGGCAATTTAGACATTGCGTATTGAGGAAATATAATTGAGACAATAAATGATACACAACATTCCACAGTTCATTGAACCAATCAATGACGGTGTGTGGGTAATTGAATTGAAAATGGGAATTGGAATAGATATCATGGAGGTTGGTTGGGGATTGAGGTGTTGTATTATTTTTAGTCATATCTTTGGTTATTAGTGTACCTTGCATAGTGGATAGGACCACTGCGGCGTAATTACATGATGTGGATAGATAGCATGAGTGAGGATCGTTAGTGGTTAAGGTGGGACCCTCTTCGAATGGTATAATATCACTACCATGTTTCGTAATACCCTGTTTAATAGTTGCAGGTGCTAGCTGGAAACACGGACTATATGGCAATGCCATGAGCCAGTAGAGCATTTCTCTAATGGTGGTTGGTTGTTTGTCACCATTGTTGAATGTAGATTGGAAATAGTATTGTGATGCGAGGTAGAGACTGGAGAGGGGGTGGGTGTCAGGTGATGTTTTGTTAGAGTTACCAACATTATTTAGTAAACCATTCCCATTTGTATCAGTGATATATTGTATGAAAATGGAGTAGGTAGATTCAATGATTTTGGTATCCTGTTTGGCGCCATCTGGACCCACGGCCTGTTTGTTATAATCCTTAAGATCTTGAGTCGATGCTTCTTTGAATTCTTTGAAACCGTTGGAATTGCCATTGGTACCAAGTAAACTTTTGATATCGTTGGCTTTCTTATCACTGAGATGACTAGTGTTGTAACCACAGGAGGCGAAGTATATGCCGATACCTGCATTGGTACTATTAATTTGAGTTTCATTGGACCATCTAGAACCTGTATTACATTGCCAATACAAATAGGTCAAACCACTGAAAATTACGGGGATAGTGCCGAGGAAGATTGAAGCACATTGTTGTTGGTCATTCTTATTACAGGTGGCATTCCAGTTGGCGTCATCTTTATAGGAGGACGTGTACTTTGTACCATTACCATTACCTTTGTTACCAATACCATCATTACCAATTGTACCACCATCATTGTAACCAATGAACTTTTTCAAGTTATCGGCCAAGGTGCTGATCAAAGAATTACTGTTCAACTTCGATATTACTTCAGTAAGCACATTTTTATCTTTGTTGAGTTTCCCAGTGGCAGCGTCCTTAACTTGTTCGAGTAACTTCTTAACTTCCTCTCCAAGTTTCTTACAATCACCACCATTCTGACCATCCTTATTCGTCACCCTCAGAATCCAATCAATACACTCCTTCAGGTTACCCGGGGGGCAAGTAAGCTTATTATGTTGGCCATTGCCATTACATTCACAAACCTTCTCCGTCATTAAAATAACCACCTTACAATGATTCACATTCTTCCACAAATAACGTATATGTTCCTCAGCACTAAGCGACATGGGGGGATATATAGGTGCAACAGCTACACCACACGTTTGGGACAACACCTGGTGTCACTCAGACTGACAAAGTATTCTTCACATGCTTTCTGTGGTACCCCTTTAAAAACACTATGGAGTATTCCACGTTCTGCATCTGTGTACCCATGTTCCGAGTTGAACCACTTGAGGCAGGCCCGAGCGACCCTCGGTTGCACGCCGACTATCGCCAACAGTTTGTCCCAACCCGTGGTTGCATATTTTCCAGCTTCATCGAANGCATTGGAATGGTGTAAGATAATCACATAGGAATGCTTGGAGGGGGGAGAGGTTGTCGGAGGTTTTGCCGCAATTGGTATGTTTAGTGGCGCAATTGTCGGTGTTACAGTTATGAGATGATGCAGTTTGTTGACCCCCTGGAGACGTGCATATCCAAGATTTAACGTTGTCATATTGTATACCTTCACCATATTTGCAATATTTCCAACCGCCATTGTAAGGGCAATTTAGACATTGCCACATGAGAAAATAAATTTGGGAATAGACAGCCGAGACAATGTCCCATAGAACAGGGAATAGGGCATTAGCTGTAGTGGGATATTCAAAGTTGAAAGCAGAATTAGAGTAGATGTCATGGAGGCCCTTTGGGGATTTAGGTGTTGTATTGTCACAAATTGTTCCTTGGATAGTGGATAGGACCACAGCGGCGTAATGGCACGATGTTAATATAAGACAGTCGAGGGGATCAGTAGGCTTTAAGGTGATACCATCATCGATGAAATCACTTTCATCATCCGGTGTATCACAAATACCATGTTTCTTAATACCCTGTTGAATAGTTGCAGGTGCTAGCTGGAAACACTCACTGTAGGGCAGCGCCATTAGCCAGTAGAGCATTTCCCTAATGGTGGTTGGGACATGGGTACCAGCATTGTTGAATTTATATTGAAAATAGTATTGTGATGCGAGGTAGAGAGTGGAGAGGGGGTAGGTGTCGGGTGATGTTTTGTTAGAGTTACCAACATTATTTAGTAAACCCTTAGTGTTCGTATCAGTGATATATTGTATGAAAATGGAGTAGGGGGATTGGATTATTTTAGTGTCACCTTTGGCGCCATCTGGACCCACGGCCTTATCGTTATATTGCTTAAGGGTTTTAGTTGATGCTTCACTGAATTCTTTGAAATGATTGGGTTTGCCATTGGTACCAAGTAAATTTTTGACATCTTCAGCTTTCTTATCATTTTGTAGTTCATCATTTTTATAACCACAGGAGGCGAAGTATATGCCGATACCTGCATTGGTACTATTAATTTTAGTTTCATTGGACCATCTTGTAAGTGGTCCGCTATCACTATCTTCGCTATCATTACCTTCACCACGACCACTATTACATTGCCAATACAAATAACTCAAACCAGAAAAAATTAAGGGGATAGTGCCGAGGAAGATGCGAGCGCAAAGGTTGGCAGCGTTAGTCCCATTCCATTCAGCGCCTTCATAGGATGAGGTGTACTTATTATTAGAACCGGAACCACCATTAGCGGGGTTACCAATACCGTCACCGGACACGGAACCACCACCATTATTGTAACCAATGAAATTTTGCAACTTTGTGGCCAAATTGGTGATCAAAGAACCACCATTCAACTGTTCTTTTACTGCTTTAAGCACTTTTTGATCATTGTCAAGTTTCTCAGTGGCATCTGCTTTAGCTTGTTCAAGTAACTCCTTTAATTTATTACCGAGTTTAGTGGCACAATTCTGACCACCACCATTCTTCCCATCCTTATTCGTCACCCTCAGAATCCAATCAATACACTCCTTCAGGTTACCCGGGGGACAAGTAAGCTTCTCATGTTGGCCACCATTACAACCACAAACCACCATCTTCTACAACAAACAACACCTTAAACTATATACATTCTTCCACAGATAACGTATATGTTCCTCAGCACTAAGCGACATGGGGGGATATATAGGTGCAACTGTTACACCACACGTTTGGGACAACACCTAGTGTCACTCAGACTGACAAAATATTCTTCACACATTTTCTCTGTCACCCCTTTAAAAACACTTTTCAGTAACCCACGTTCTGCGTCTGTGTACCCATGTTCCGAGTTGAACCACTTCAAGCAGGCCCGTGCCACCCTCGGTTGCACGCCGACTATCGCCAACAGTTTGTCCCAACCCGTGGTTGCATATTTTCCAGCTTCATCGAACGGCTCGAAATGTGCCCCTAGGTTACGTAGTGCCATGGCTGTGTCCATCCGTCTGTGGTGTATCCACCCCCGTATAGCCTCGGCTTCGGCCAGGGTGACCACCACGAACCTACGTCCCGCATCCAATATACACAATGACCTTTCACAGTCCAAGCGTGTTTGTTGTGTATAGTGTCCCAAATACAATTCCACAATCTCTGCATCCTGTTTGTCCATCGGTCCCTGTCCCCAGATGGTACCTGTCCCGTTACCCAGGACGTCCACAACAACCACCACGTTCTTCAATCTACGATGACCCATGTTGCTCCATGTCATCTTGTAGTAATTCGGGCTGAATTGGAGCCACTCTGGGAACGGCATCGTCAAACGTTTGTTATCCTTCCTGTAGACATAGAAGTCTCTCAACATGGTGAACCCGGGACCTTCCTGGTGCAACCTGTCCACTGGCCAATGTACAACCGTTTCGTCACTCCTGTTGTACTTGTGTGACACAGGTCTCTCGTCGTCCCTTTCACACTCTTCCTGCTGCATCTGTTGTTTCTGGTGTGTACATTCTTCCTCGACCACCTCCAACAGTTCCATCTCCTGTTCATGTAACGTCTCCAACCCCCCTTCACCCACCCCGTACTCTTTGTACTCTAGGAATGTGTCAATAACACTCTCATCGTCACGTGTTTCTATCATCTTCACAAATGCTTGTTTTCTCACCGCATTCTCTCGTTGTTGTTCCTCCAACACTGTCTTCAGTCTCACATCCTCCAACACACCTTTGACAACCAACCACTGTAGACATTGTACTATCTTCAACTGTGCCTTTCCTTGGTCCATCTCGATCACTCTGTCCAACTCTCTCGGCACCACTAGGTGCAATGTCTGTCCCCGACCCACCTCTCTCATCCGCCATGCCCCCTGGGAGTAGTCTCTGTAGGTCATGTTGGGACCCACTGTGATCATCGCCATCGCCGTGGCACACTGTCTGATGTCCTGTCCCGTGGCGTGTACCTGGTCGTAGAACGTGAACCTACGTTCCGGTGGTATCCCGCAGTGTGTCAATAAAGAGGTCCTGTAACGGTCCCTCAGCAACACCATCTGTCTGTCCTCCTGGTCCATATAGACAACTCCGTCCACGTGTTCCAGACCCCTTCGTAACAACTCCATGGCCACCTCCAGATTGCTCATATTGCTAATCAGAGCACCTGTGTCGATCAGTGCTAGAGGTCGATCTGGGTGCCTTGCCACCAGGTCCAGCACAGTGTCACTGGTCCACCCCGTCTCCAACACAGTGGGTCCCAAGACCACACCAGGATCACATAACACATCGATGATGCGAGCATCCACACCACGACTGTAATGACATCCACCCATCTCCCTGGGCAACAGCTGTGACGGTGTCCCCGAGAACCCCAGTCTCACTGGGAACAACATGGAAGTACCCAGTTCCATCGCACTCGCGGTCACCTGCAACCTCGTGTGTTCCATCGCAGCTGGCAGCAGTATCTCGCACAGGTAGTATTTGATCACCTCCAACTCACGTCGCAACAATCCATACAACAGATCCACCTGCTCCCTATCATCCACGTTAACAACATCCAAAGTAGGTATGTCATCATTAATGTCCCACAGCACAGTGTCACCAACATGACTTTGTAAAACATTCTTCAGATAATAATACCTTACTTCTTTTTTCCTTTTATCACAACGCATTCTGCCACCAGCCTTTTCAACCCACTGACAGAACAACGTGTACGCAGGTCGATCTTGTACAGTCCCGGGTTCTGTGTACAACCTCGACACAAGGTGCCTCAGTGCAGTCACAAAGTCACACCTTCTCAGACCTTGGTACATATAGCTCAACATCGTGAAACCTATTAAAACGTCTGGGTGTGAGAACTCCGAGTGGCTACTGGGGGTGCCTTTGCCAACGAAGGGGACAGCTAGAGTACGTCTAGTCAACGGTACACTAACACTGCTGATTTGCTCCTCCTTTATCACACCATAATTAACCAAATTCACTTTCGACAGCATATATGGCAACGTTGTTCGTAGCCATTCCCTAGTGTACAACACTGCGTCCATCTGTGTCAACAACATGTACCTCTCCAGATACTCCTTTGTCAACTCCTCCAGTATTGGCAACAGCTTGTCTCGGTACCACTGCATATTGAGTATGACCATGTGTGGTGACATTGTCACATGGCATTGGTCGACACCGTCCCGGATACATCTTTCTAGTTCTTGGTGTCCACCATTGACAACCATCGCCAACACATACCATGGCAACAACCAACGTATCTCGTGGTCACTCCCCTCCAGTTGTTTCAACGGCTGTTTTCTGCCAATTGGCCAATGCAGCTCGCTTTTCAGTGGGTGCAACAGCAGGTCGATCTCGTCCATCAGCAGGATGCCACTGGAGAACAGTTCCAGGATCCTTAGCAGCACATCCAACTCCAGCTGCGTGTCACGATAGACGTCATCCAGACTCGGTTCCACACCCCCGACATACCTCATGTTCCATATCTTGGACAACCTCTGGTGGATCCTTGTCACCCTGGCCACGGTACCCTCTGGGACGGTACCCTCTCTCAACTTGTAGTAACACAGGATGCATTTGAGGAAGATGGATTTGATAGTGGTAGGTGTGCAGACAACAATGGACCCCGTCTCTCTAGCTTGGAGCAACTTGAGGTACAGCTCGGGCGTGGCTCGGTGGTACCTGCTGAAGTGCAGTGTGAACACTCCCTTACGGATGACCGCAGAAAAGGTCTCTCTCAGAACGTTCTTGGTGAACTCTAGAAGCTCACTCGGACACACCTGCACGAACAATTGTCTTCCATTCGCCAACATCACCGAGAGCAGTGGTCCCACCACAGTGGTCTTGCCTTGACCCATGATCATCTGGTGGCACCTGCTCTCACCCCTCTCGGCAGCTTCACAGAACTCTTTGAGCAGTTCCACCTGCGTCTTGCGTAGCACCAAGTCATTGCTGAACTCGAACAGAAGGAGCCTTGGGTCCATCACTGCTTTCACATTGCCACCTTCACCAGACACAGTGACATAATGTCTAGTAACACACAGTTGGTCACAAAGCACACCCATACAACTGCAAAGTGTGTCTTTTGTGACACCCCTTTCTACTTGATCAATTATTTGTGACACCTGCGATATAGCTTTGGCAGTGACACAACGTCTGTTCACGGTCATCATCACGGCAGCTACCATTGCCAACAGCTCCTTTGGACCATCTACAAACGGGTTCAGTGACAACAGAGTGTCGATACCGTTACTGGAGACCAAACATTCCACGAGCTGGTCCATACCAATGAGACACTCTACCCCGCCCAGTTTCCCGAAGATGTAGCTCCAGCACTGTTGCACTTCCCCATGACCAACCGAGTTGGCCTTGCGTAGCACACTTCTTATAGCTGTTTCCAGGAAACTACCGTCTTTGTGGTACAACTTTACCAGTTTCTCCTTCAATAACACCAATAGATCACAATTTACTAAGGTCACACTCGTTGTGTCCACCTGGTCAAAGTCCTTTTTTAGTCGTTCAACAAGTTCCCGTGCCTCCTCAAGTTGCATTATCCAGTGGTGATCCAGTGCAAGTGGGAACTTTCTTTGGCCCCCTTCTCTCACCTCTACCATGTCACCAACGACGTCACCAAGTAACCTGTTACCCATCCCGTAGATAAAGCCATCATCTATCTGGGCATCACCTACACGGCAGGGGAACACCTCCATGACACCACAACAGTAATCACTGGAGTATGTCACGAATGACCATGGGACCATCTTGGTACCACTTTGAATCACGTGATTCCCTCTTATGACATATTGGTACATGTGGTACCTCCTGTGAGTGTCTGTCCAATGTATACAGCCACGTTGGTCGAGCCTCTGCAGTGTCCGTTGCAGCTCCACGAGGAACTTCTGGAACGGGTGCTGTTGCTGTACCCTCGAGAGGATGGCGGAGAGTGACTTTTTATGTAGCACGTCCGTGGGTACCCGTGGCAGCTGTGGTCCCAACGAGACATCGGTACTCAGTAGCTCGAGAGTGGACAGCAGCACTGTGTTATTGCGTTCCCGGTGGACAATGTGTCGAGTGAGCAAAGCACCCCAGGGGTGGGTCCCTTCATACGGCAACGTGGACAGTGGGAAGATCCCGCACAGCAGCTCGTAGACCACCACGAAGTCGGACTGGGCCAGTCCCCTGCTGAACATTTTGTCAACATAGCACAGGGCATCGGCACCACACACCACAGTATCCAGTTTCTTGTAACGCATACCACCGAATATGTTACAGATGTTGTCCACATATGGATTCTTCTCGACACAGCTACGGTCATTTCTCATGTCGTAGTTGTACACTTCGGGTCTCTTTGGCAACGTAATGTCCACCTTCGCCACAACTCTACAATGTCTCGGTGCAGTGTCCAACCCATTCAATATGGCTAATCTATTGGACAACAGGGGGTACTGTGCAAACTGTGGTTGGCACATCTGCAGTAGTTCACGTTCCTCTTTCACGGTCAATCGGCAGCCAGCGGAGATCCACCTCAAGTGGATGATGTACCCCAGTAGTTCCTGGTGTAGGATCCACTTGACCCCCAAAACACCATCTTCTGTGGTTACTTTGTGAGTCCCGAGGAAATGTCGCAGGTGCCTAGTCTGTTTCGATTTCCGTTTCAGGTGGATACCCCGGGTCACGTGGAGTCCCTGTCTGCTGGCGGCGAGGAGCAGGTGGAGTCGGCAGGCGAAGGCGTTGGGGTGTGGATCACTGGTCGAGGTGATTTGTCCCAGTATCTCCCAGAAGGCACGTTCCTCGCTGTTGTCACTTTCGTCTTCGAACAGAGTGGTCCGGCTGATCATGCACACCTGCTCGTACTGTCTATCCAGGAACCTGTTGAGAAGGAGGAACAAGCTCGAGGCGTAGGTCGGGACAAACAGGAAAGACTGTGACGAGTGGACTTTGTACAAATAGTGACGACTGCCGGTGTCGATGGCAGAGAGCCAGTGTGTGTTTCCACCGTCGTAGATGAGCTCGGGCCAGGCCACGCCTTGTAGCACATGGGCGATATCCTGGGACAGTGCCGTCACTTGGGGTATTTCGGGGAACACACGCATGGGATACCTCACTGTACTAACCATTATATAGATGCCACCGTCTTGGTCACACAAAAGAACACTGTTTTCGAGGCCACGGACCAGAGCTGAGGTCAAGGGAGTATGCCATACGTCACCCATGTAGATATACAGGCCGTTGTGTTCCTGGCACATGTATCGTACATGGTTGTTGTGTAGCTCCGCATGGAATGTTAGATTTAGCTTGGTGAATTCCACAATGTCAACACTTTGTGCATTATAGCTCCATGCTAGAATATGACTCAGGTCATCAAGTCTCAATAGGGTATGAACAAGGTCATCTATCACAGGATCCCTTGGACAACAAAGGTTGATTAGGTGTTGCACAGGGACATCACCACTGTGTACTCGGTGTATCATGGCATTAGCCTCAGAGTGTTGGAAGTAGGTTGAATCCGGGGAAGTGTCAATAATGAGTTCAATCCAGATCCGTGTTTTGGAGTGTTTCTCGGAGGCGGTGTTTTGGGGGTAGCCCGTGAGATCGGCAGTTTTGATGTTCTGCCAGAAGTGGTACTGGTCAAGGAGGACGTCGGGGAGGAGGTCGCGGCCATATTGTTGTCCCTAGGTGGGTAGTCGCAG